CTTTTAAAAGGAATTTTAAAATGCCCTAACCCAAATAAAAATTTTCAACTCATTTTTATTTAAAAATTGGAGGCTTTTCTTTTTGGAAAGCTCAAAACAAATCCTTGGCATCCCATTGCTTACAGTTCATCTGAGAAGTTGTCTGGTAAGAAAAGTATATGAAGAGTAAGAGTTGTAACAACATGGAAATGCTTAACAATAATAACAAATTAAGAGTAGTAATTGCCAATTGAGATAATGAAGAATTATATTGGAGGGAGATGAGCACATAGGACATGAATTGAGTCTGTGGTGACTTATACTTGGAGGCAGAAACATCGAACACGAGGATATGATGAAACTAAAACTAGGTGGAAGATCTGAAATGCTCTATCATTCTCTACAGATTTTTCAGATATGTCATTTATGACATTTATGACTGTAAGTTGCTAAAAGTATTCCAGAAAATAAGAAAATCAAGGTTGTTTCTCACTGGGATCTAGCTGATGTTTACCTGTCTGACTAACTCACTGTTTTCCTCTTTATTTCCTTCCTCTTATAGCCCATAGTTTTGAAAAAAAATTGAAATTATTTTCTATTAGGATCAATAAGAGGTAGCTCTACTAGTGGTATTAGATATGCATATCTTCATAGATTAGGGATGTGTTTATAGAATGGGTGATCTTTATACACCAGAAGATTTAGAAAAAGCCTGGGGATCCAACATTATATTTGCAATTGGCCAATGCTTATAAAAGATCACATCTCTGAAATTCAGACATAAGGAATAGGACAGGTAGACAGCTCTTCATTTTAAGAATTTGGCATCAAGGAAGAGGTACAACAGATGTACTAACCCACTTTTAGCAACTTTTGTAGAGACTGAGGAGGGTTGCCAGTTTGAACTTCTCTGAAGACTGAATTGACATTGGAGAGATGAGTGTTGTCATGCTCACTGTCATGAATTTGTCTTATAGTTACATTTGCATATATAAAAGTATATATATATATATATGCACATATAACCAGCCATAAGCAAAAGGAGTGAAATGAACAGAAACAACTATCCATAAAGATCTGGTTAAATAATTTTCAGTGCTCACGCAGTAGTGTACAATATATTTAGTACAGTGCAACATCCCAGGAATCATAAAAAAACAGAACTCCATAATATATTGTAGAGTAAAATAAGACTATTCACAAAGCAACACTGACCATAATGGGCCAAAATGATAGCATTCTGCAGTCTGAGGAAATAGTACAAACACACAGGTGTGTGTGTGTGTATGTGTGTGTGTGTGTGTGTATGTGTGTGTGTGTGTAAAACATCTCTGTATGATGCCAAAGGGGGAAAAAAAAAGCTTAGTATAGGAATGAAGAGACTGGGCAGTTTGAGAGCAGAAGTAGGAGGGAGACTGAATCCATTTATGTCATTTATAAGTATGAGATTATCTTATAATAATATAAATTGCATAAGAATAGAAAGACATCAAATATATTGAGAATAATGGGAGAAATAAGAAAAATGAGCTTTGGAAGAAAAGATTTTTTAAAAAGTAAAAACAAATTGTATTCTTTTCTCTTTTATCTACTATATTGTAGATTTCTGTATTAAAATACCAAAAATTTTTTTTCATACAAATAAATGTTTTTTAATCAGCAATATTTTAGTATGTGACATTCATTCAGAATACTTTTCAGGACTCAATTGCAACTGTCCTTGGGATTTTGCACATAAGCTGGTGCACATATGTATGAAAATGCCATAGTGAAACCTGTTACTTTGTATGTTAATTTTTAAAATTGATGATAAATAAACAAACCTCTGATGCAGTAGTCAAAAAAAAATACCAAAATTTTTATATTTATGAAAATCATGGAAAAGCTAAGGGAAGCTGGTCCAATCAGTTCAGAATATTTGAGAAAGTTCAGGCCCTCGGGACTAATGAGTTTGCCAAGTCTGAGTATCTCCTTGGATGGAGGAAGTGTCACTCCCCCAGTGACTTTGGCTACTCTGAGGACAGCATGAGGTTTACGCATTAGCAGAGCCTCTTGTTCACTGGGGACTACGGCTCCTAGAAATTGAGCTTTGTATGCATTTGTTGTGAATTGAAACTGATTTAACAGGGTAGAGATTTTTCCTGAGTGAAATACTATGAGAAGGAATGAAAGTATTATAAATCTGCCTTTTAAGGGAACAAAGTTATGTTTTGTGGTTACTATCTGGAGTCAGTAAACAAAAATGAAACACTGACACTTTAAATAATAAAACTCATGACTTCTACTAAGTAGACTAAGTGGAGTCTGCTTCAAAACATGAATAAGAATCATATCATTTCTATATAAATAGTTCAGCATATGTAATTTGCATGTAGGAAAAAGAGCTCACTTTTTCATTAGACGTCATACTCCTATTGTGTTTATATGTTTGTTTTGTTATTTCTGTTTTTATGTAATGATAACAGGTCAAGTGACCTTTTAATATGTCACTTTTAATATTACAACATTGAGTTTTAAATATCAAACTTTGTGAAGATTTATCCTATTTATTTCTCTTTTAAGAGGGCTGTAAAAGAAGAGTTTTAGTTTTTACTACCATAAATTTGAAAAACATTTCAGATTCTCATTTTCAAACTTCACTATGAGGCATAATTGATTTACCTGGATATTAATATATATAAATATCTTCAGTCAGATTATCACATATATTTTCAGTATATTCTAGAAATGATTTCAGTTGTTGGAGGTGCTATATGAAGCTCATGTCTCACCTTCTGTTATTTTCCTGCCATTAATTACACTGGATTGAAATGTGAGAATGGGATTACAGATGGACAGGTGCATAGGTCATGGAGAGAGTCTTTGCTTCTCTGAAACTTGCTATGGGATGTTCTCATTTCCCACAGCCTGTCCTTTTATATCTTAAAATACAAGTGCTAAAAGTTAAAGCTCATAAAAATGAGATTATTAGTTAACAAAGATTAACTCTGCATCTGGAAATGGCCTTTAGAGCAAGAGGGTCACAGATGTTTCAATATGACCTTTGTTTGTGTTCCCACCAACTTAAAATTGGTGCCATTTTGAGTTCTGGTGATTTCATAGTAGTCTCATTTGTCCAGGGTGTGGCATTGTTCTATTTCCTACAAGGAAGAGATAACTAGTGCTAACAAGCAAAGAATACAATCTAACCTATTGTCTTAGCCTGGAGATGTATAGCTTATAATCTTGGAGGCTGAGACCAACTGTATGAGTTCAGTTTTTGTTGTTATAATAAAATACCTGAGGCTGGATACTTTATAAAGAGAGTTATTTGACTTATGATTACAATGGCCAGAGGACTGATGCAGCATGGAAGTACTATCTTGGTGAGGACCTCTCCTGGATATATCACAACACAGGAGTTGGCAACATGGTGAGAACAGTGCTCAAGAGGGAGAGCAAATAGACAAGTTTATCTTGGGGGCTGTTCTTCTTCTTTATAAATCATTTTCATGGAGGTATGGGATGACTCAGGTGCCTTGTACTGGCCCAACCCTTTAAAAATCCCTTCACTTCAGCACTGCCACACTAGAGACCAAGTACATGAACCTGTATGGGTAGATTGCATCCAGTTTTGGTTAAAGGCTTCTCATACAGTCATGTTTATTGGCCTTATAAACCCAGGGTATGAGGTGGGTGTGTTAGTTCATGCCTGAAATCCCAGCCTTAGAGAGGCTGAGGCAAGAAGACTGTGCTGAGTTTGAGGCCAATCTGGGCTGCATAGTGAGCTCCAGGCTAGCCTTGACTTTAGTCGGAAACTTTGTCTCAAAAAAACAAACAAAGTTTTTAAAAATTATGGCTCTAGAAGACCCCAATCTTATCCAAAGGAATGTTGGCAACTGATTGCTGCTAGATGAGGAAGAGCTGACCTTCCTAAAACAAGGATCTAGAAGATAGGCTGACTAGATTCAGCAGATGAACAAGCACTGGGGAATGGCTGGGGGTACTGACAACACAGTGGACAGTAACAGGGATTACAGAGTACCTGGGCTCCAGTGGGGTTGGGGAGGCTATGGGAGAGTGCCATTTGGGATGTGGGCATATAGATGAATAAAATTGTTTGGGATGTTCTGTATGAAATACAAAAATATCAACAAATAAAAAAATGAGTTATATTTGAGGAAGAAGCATAAAAATTTGTTTCATGTTAATTAATAGAGGTGAAAAACATTACCACTGAAATCTACCTGATGATTTTATATCCATGCTCAGGTGCCAAAGAGCTCAGAAAGTAACCAACTGTGACTAGTAATAATCAGATGCATGGAGGTTAGAGATGCATGTGCAAACATCTAAATGTTAGTAGCATTAAAAATGAGTTTTTCTGTATGAAACAATATATTTTAAAATGAAATGGAGATCTTTTTTAAAGGTTAAAACCTCATCCAATTTTATGTCTGATAGGATTTATATTGAGTTCAGTATTGTATAACTGTATCAATTCAACTGTGAACCTAAAAATTTACAGCCAATTTTGAAAGTAAAGCATCTTTGCTCTGGAAATTGTTATTGAATATGTTAATGCTGTAATGAAATGCTTCTTCTAATCATGTGGTTATTAAATAAATAATTTTTAAAAAAGAAAAGTTCAGGACTAGAAAAAAAATTATGGTTCTTCTTGAACAATACAACCATGTCATAATTTTTTATAGGTTATTTAAAATTTCAAAGCAAACAGAATCAGTATTCTACACAGTAACAGATGAAGCTTATTGTACTATTGTGAATTTTTTTTCAAACCATACGTTCAGCACTCTGGAAATTTTTCTACCTTGGGAAGGGAGGAAGAAGGTGAAAGTGACCTAAAGTTCTTCCTTTGAGAGGTTCTGCCTTGGTTGGCAGTTTCACAGGTCCCCCTAAGTGCGCATAAGGGTCTGCTCTTTAAAGGACTTCAGTTGGTGGGGTAAGCATGCAGCTGACACTTTCACTCACAGATCTAATATCTTTGTTTCTCTTATTTGTTTTTCTGTCTTGCTTTTTAGAGTATCGTGTGTACGGGACGGCGTCAGTGGCATCCAGACCCCTCCCTGGTCCACTGCATCCAGTCGTGTGAGGTATGTGGGCCTCTCTTCACCAAGCCACCTGGAGAGCTGTGACCAAATGAATCCCCCCAATTCAAGGCCCTGTCCTCCTCATTCCTCAGTCCTTTCTCAGTTTCTTTTTTGTCTTTTTGAGACAGAGTCTCCCTGTAGCCCCAGCTGGCCTGGAACTCACTATGTAGGCCAGGCTCTATCTCAGAGAGATGCCCCTGTCTCTCCCTCTTCAGTATAGGGATTAAGGGCTTATGCCACCCCACCCCACCCTACTTCTTTAATCTAATGAAGAAGATTGTAGAATGAGAGCATTACAGAGAGGATGATCTGGGAATCCCGACGGAGAAGGGAGATGCATACACTAGGAATAGCCAGTGACAAAAACAAATATTGTAGTTCAGTTAGAGCAGGTTTATTCATCCAAACCTCTCTTTGGAAGTAAATAAGTCACTTAGCAGCACTGCCCAGATATTTCTGGCTCCTCACAGTGTGCTAGAGAGAATGCCTTTAACTGCCATTGATTTCCAACAATTCCACTCAAACACACACAATCTGCATGCACACATCCATATTAATCCCTGTATTCTGTATATCAGTCTCTTGATCTAATTCTGGGAAACTGGGATCCACGAAGCCAGAGAAACGGCAAAGGTAGAGTTTGAGAGAAAAGAGAAAACTGGGGGAGGAAAGGACACCCATAAAAGAGCTTTCTGAGAATGCATCAGGACATGGAGTGTGCTGTTACCATGTGGGCCAACAGAACAGCTCATCTTCTGCCATCATTAGAAAAACAGATGGCAGTGGGGTGGGGTGGGGAGGCAGGAGGGGGAGTGAATCATTCACTGGGCAGGGGGTAGATCGGGGAGATGAGGCCAGGGAAAGACGGAGATAAACAGACTGAGGACTTAGGGAGCTGGGCAGAGATCAAAGTGCTCTGAGAATTCCCTTCTGCTGCTTCTAGGCATCATCACAAGTGGGAGAGTCGATGTCAGGACTTGGGGCTGGCTTCAGTGGTTTCCAGAAGGTCACGATACAGAACTTTTCCCACTTGTCCTTTTCCCTTGTGGTGTACCCCAGCATACCCTCTAGAGTGATCCAGAGCTTCCCAGGCTGCTACATTCCCTTTGAGTCTGCCACAAGGAGCGAAACTCCTTTCCCCAGGCTGCCTCCCCTTACCCACTGTTGTCATGCACAGATGACTCCTGTCCCCTTAATAGGCTTTAGTACCCACTCCCCTCATACCAGTGGTTCTGTGTAGCCCCTGACCATCATCTTCAGCATCACCTGGAACTCCATAGAAATGTACTCTCTCAAGTCCACCCCACATTCACTGCCTCAGTAACTTCACAGGGGGGCAACAGTCTGTATTTTAACCAGCAAGCCCTCCAGAGAATTCCAAAGGCTGTGGAAATCTGAGAACCACTACCTTAACCTCTAGAAGATTAGAAAGTTCCTAGGCTGGGCATCTCCACTTTAAAGCTTTATTTGTCCAGAATCAGTGTGTGTGTGTGTGTGTGTGTGTGTGTGTGTGTGTGTGTGTGTTATAAATACACATGTGCATGTGGATGCATGTACACATGCAGGCCAGAGGTTGTTATCGGATGTCTTCCTCAATCACTCTTCACTTTTTTTTTCTCTCACTGAACCTCAAGCTGCCTGATTCTGTGACACTATCTGCTCAGTGAGCTCTAGAAAGTCTATTCTCTGTTCCATGTGCTAGGATTACAGGGGTAAGCTGCCATGCCTGGCTTTTTACACAGGTGCTAAGGAATCTAATTTCAGGTCTTTATGTTTATATAGAAAGCCCTTTACTGACTGAGCCATCTCCTTAGCCCCAGAAATAATTCTTGCCAATTTTATTGACATTGTGCTTATTCTAAATTATTTTGCATATTCTATACTGTCATTTCCAGGATATTTGGGTTAAGAAAGATTAAAAAGAACTAGCCATTTGTTTCTGTTCTTTCAACAAAGGCAAGGAGGAAGAAAGCCTATTCAGAGAGAGAAGGGAAGAAGCAAAGAAAGTAGGAGAGTAGCCCATAGGGAGCGAAAGAGAGGAGGACAAGCTGAGGAAGGAGCAATGGCTCTGGCCAGATAAGGAGGAAGAGCTGCATAGAGGGAGGATGAGGATGAGAAAGAAAGCAGGGACAGGGATGCTGCCAGCTTCTTGGCGCAGCTTGGCCAGTTTTTGATATTTTGCTGGAAGAAATCAATGACACATCTTAAGAGAACTGAAGACCATCAAAGACAGATGGAGGGAAAACAGACCCTAAGGCAGGAAGATGGGTCTGCAGGTGAAAAAAAAATGTGCAAAGTGCAGCACATAATCTAAGCTCAAGCCAAATACTGTGACTCGTTATCTAGAAGGACCTCCTTTCCGCTCTCCAATGCAGACTATCAGTCTCAGACATGCTCTACAGCTGCCTTTGTTCCCTCTGTTGCGGTCCTAACATTTTTCCTATTGTTTATCTTTTGCTGAAAAGCATCTCCAGAAGGCCTCATCTTTTTTATACTTCTGCCTGTAGAGAGTGTGTTAGGTAGAAAGTGGGCCTTTCTCTTCAGGCTCATGTCTGTTCCAAACCCCATGCGCACTCTACCCTAGATATGAAAAGCCTCTGCCTTATAATATTCATTTTTGTATATTTTTATTGTGTTTTTGTGTATTTCACACAAAACATCTTAATCATCTTTATACCCTCTCCACCGTCCAGAACCCCCATAGCATGCCTCACATCATTTGCATTCTGTCATATATGTTAAGGTCTATCTAGTCAAATTAGTGTACCCAGGCGTCTCTTAGTGCAAGTTCATCCACTGGGTTCTAATCAACCAGTCTAGAGTCTATCCATTAAAGAAGATCAACGTTCCCTTGCCCAGCAGTAATCAGTCTTACAGTATTCTTAAAATGCATAGACTTTGCACTCTGATTCTACTTCTGGGAGTGGATATTGGTACCACTTGCTGGTGGCCCTGAACAAATTACTTTGCCCTTGTGCCCCATTGCCCTAGGGTAATGTAATACGATGTGTAAAAAAGCTTTAATGTAATGTCTACTTTAGAAGCTTGTTGTGAAGATTAACAGATTCCACAGAGAGTGAACTCAGCCCAAGATATACAGCAGTGCACATACTGGCTACTGTTATTATCAGTCTCAGATGTAATAGCATTGCCCCACATTATTTTGTACCTGGCACTTTCAGTCATGTTTAGTTGCTTTCCTGGCTCATGTTTCTCTAAGTCATTGATATTCAGCTGAGATGAATTTTATACCCCATATCTCACCATTTGGCAATACCAAAGACCATTTTGGTTGTCATCACTGGATGAATGGAGGGCATTACTGGCATCTAGTGTATAGAAGCCCAGGATACTGCTAAAATTCCCACCATGCACAAGACAACCCACAGCCAAACACTGTGCTGCCCCAAATATCAATAGTACTGTTAGGAGTTTCTGTACTAGGCTAGCTTATATGGATCCTACAGTATGTTTCCCAGGCACTTCTTCTACTTGGATTATTATTAATCCAGTACCCACCTACCACCTGTCCCCATCCCCTAACCCAGATGAGGTATCTAATTGTACCCTGTTATCTATTTTGCTGCTTTTCACCTTAGGGGAAATACTGGTTTTCTGTGTGTCTCATACGCTGTGGCTTCTACAAGCTGAGAACATTGTCTGTTCTGCTGATGAATATTAGCTGTTAATACTATCTCTGGAATAAATGGAGCTCAGGAGGTGTTTATTGATTGAAAGTATTAGTTAATCTATGTATTGCTTATAAAAATCATTCCCTATAAAAATTCTATAATAATTGTTTAGAAAAATGTTTATTATGTCAAATACTTGTTTGATAAAATTCCTCCCAGCATGAAGAAAGAAAGGGGAGGAGAGATAGATTGGTGGCTGGAGTGAGGGAGACAGAGAGACAGAATGAGAAGATGGTTTTCCTCACAATAATGAGTTGAAGTGAGGCTTCATTACACCTATGAATTCTGTGTTATCAGATAATACAAGTACATTTAAAACAAAATCCTTTCCCTCCTTACCTCCCTCCCTCTTCCTCTGCATTTATTCTCCTTCCATCATTTCTTTGTCTATTTCTTTTCTGTTCTTTCATTAAGTGCTATTTTTTTTTTTTACTTCCACCAAAGTCTACAACACCTGGTTGACAGGAAGAGCAACAGTTCTCTAGGAATGAACCTGGGGATAAAGGCCCACATTCCTATGCTTCTTTGGCAAAGGACTGATTAACTTCCTTCATATGGATTGATTACACTTGATCTGCTCCTTGGCTTTGGTTTTGCTGTGAGCATGCAGCCTTGCAAGTTGTCCTGTTCTTGCTTCAGTCTCTAGGCTATAATAGTGTCTGATACTCTCTCTTAAAACTTTTACTGGTTCCTGTAGAATTGTATTTTTCCTTCCTTCCTTCCTTCCTTCCTTCCTTCCTTCCTTCCTTCCTCCCTCCCTCCCTCCCTCCCTTCCTTCCTTCCTTCCTTCCTTCCTTTTTTTTATAGAAGGTACTGTGGAAGAGGACAGAGGTAGAAAGATGTCAAAAGAATTAGGTGCAGAGCTGGGGGGATGGTTCAATGAGCAAAGCACTTACTGTGCAAATGTGAAGATCCAAGTTCAAATCCCCAGAACCCACATAAAGCTGGGCATGGTAGCACATGTTTGTAAGCCCAGTGCTCCTATGACAAAGGGAAGCAAAGACAGGGGAATCCCCGGCAGCTCATGGGTCTGCTAGGCTGGCATGTGCATTGGTGAACAACAAAGAGACCCTGTCTCAAACAATGTGGAAGGCAAGACCACTGAAGGTTGGTCTCTGACCTCTACATGTGGGCCATGGTGTGCATGTGCCTGTCTATACTTACATATACGAACACATACATACATACAGGCATATACATCATACACATACATACATATCATACACATACACATACACAAAGAAAATTAGGTGAGGGTTCTGAGTATACTTTTCAGCTGTGCACAGTACCTGCATGGCTTTCTTTCAGGCA